AAGAGAAATCATTACATGTGTATGATTTCTCCACACAAACCTCAGAGTTATTAAATACGTATCATTGACCCCTGGCTCAATATAAAATCCTGTTGCCCTTTGCCTCTGCTTTGAAGCCCTGGGTCCCTGGTTTCTGCTTCAGCAGGCTGCTACCTCTTGATGAGAAATAAAGCTCTCCATTTTCCAAACTATAAACCTCATTAGTAATTTTTTTTAGTTAACAGGCAAGATTTAACTATTAAAAGCAAAAAATGAAAAGTGTATTTGTCAATTTGTAGACATTCTATTTAAAGGTTATTTATTACACACAAGAATTTCAAATATCATTCAGAATGTAAATGACTAGTTCTATGCATTGATCAGCCATGTGGTACCTAAGGAAAAGTGTGGTGGCATTGCTAGCTGGCAGCACGTGAGAAGAGCAGCCAGGAGCCCTCCCAGCTGGTGGAAACCACTGGCAGGTGCCATGGGGTCTCGCTCCCTCCAGGCGGGGCCAGTGAGTCAGGCGGGTGCAGAGCTGAACCCATGGCACCTCCCTTCTCCCGACTCAGTCAGCAGGCAGGTCCAGGCTGGTCCCTGTCATCACTCACCGGCCACTTGCTCTTTCACCAGCTGCTCCAAAGGCAGGCGGATGGAGTCGTGTTCCACTGTGCAAGTAATGAAGTGGGGCTTGGCCCCCTCCACGTGGCTGTGACATTCAACTGCGTCCCTCTTTGAGGTCTGGTTTTCATGGAAATGCTTCACCACAGAATGGATTACTAAATTATTTGACTGTGGAGATACAGCAGAGAAAGCATTTACAGAACTTGTCCTAAAGGAAGAATCTGAGTAATAATCTCTCTCACTCATTTCCTTTCCTGGCTAATGTTTCTTTTTTTTAAGCTTCAAAGAGATTAAACTTCCTGAGTTGTACCTTTTAAAAGACTTGAGAGTTTCAAACTTTCAAAACCTTGGGATTCATTTCAGGTCAATTTATGCCTGTTTTAGTGTTAAGTAGGATTATGAATTTTCAAATTTTATAAATCTGTCAAAAAAAAAAATGTTTTGCCCAGGTAACCACTGCTGGCTACCTCTCGAAGGGGCCACTAGGCACACCTGTCCAGTATGCCCGGTGACCCAGCAATTTCATCTCTTGGCCTTTCTCCTAAACCCACGTCCATACTGAGGCGACTCACTGTGTAAAGGCTCTGAAGCACAGCGCTGTGTAACAGCAGAGCCTAGGAGCCCTCTGAATGTTAAACAGATCACACAATGCCCAACCAGTTGTAGAAAACCCATCTATGTGCTGATGTTGAAAGATTTCAAATATACTTGTAAAAACAAAGAGGTGGCCAGCACTGTGTATAGCATGGCACACTTTATTTTAAAAGGGGAGATATATACACATTTGCTTATATGTGTATGTGAAATACTTGAAAAGGGGGCCAGGCACGGTGGTTCATTCTGTAATCTCAGCACTTAGGAGGCCAAGGTGGGTGGATTGCCTGAGCTCACAAGTTTGAGATCAGCCTGAGCAAGACTGATACCCTGTCTCTAAAAATAGCCAGGCACTGTGGCGGGCACCTATAGTCCCAGCTGCTTGGGAGGCTGAGGCAAGAGAACCATTTAGGCTCAGGAGTTTGAGGTTGCTGTGAGCTGTGACGCCAAGGCATGCTACCAAGGGTGACAAAGTGAGACTCTGTCTCAAAAAAAGAAAAAAACCTTGAAAAGATAAAAAGGAAGAAGAAAAGAACACACAAAGGGAAACACATGCCCTAGTGTGCAGCAGGCCATCTCCAGAGGACACGGAATTAATGACATTGGTCTGCTGTAGGGAGAAGTGAAGGACTGCAGCACTGGGAGTGGGAAACTTAAAAAAAAGCTTTGTTGTTAATAACAGCAGAAAAGTGTGTAAAATATAAATGTACAGTTTAATGAAAAAGCATAGCAGTGAGTCTTTGAGCACTCAAAGAACCTGCCCAGAGTGCTGATGCCCCCGAGCACCTGCACTGCAGGTGCCCACAGCCAACTCCTGCCCCCCCGACCTGCATACTCATCACTCTGCCTTCTCTTTACACTACTTCCTGTGTAAGCATCCCTAAACCTTCATCTGAAGGGAAGTGAACTGAATTCTCTGTGAAGTCAAGATTCAATCTATACGGCTCAGCGCCTATAGCTCAACCGGCTAAGGCGCCAGCCACGTACACCTAAGGTGGTGGGTTCGAATCCCCAGCCCGGACCCACCAAACAAGAATGACGGCTGCAACCAAAAAATGGCCGGGCATTGTGGTGGGCGCCTGTGGTCCCAGCTACTTGGGAG